CATTCACTTTAACTCCAGCGATTGCGCCCAGTCATGACGTTTTAGCTAATCATCAGTGCACGAGTTGGACAAAGCAGGAACTCTTACAATTGTGAAAAGATTGGCCCATACTGTGACTCCCACACTGTGGGAAAGGAAGGGCAGCGGTGAAGCTCTTTTCCTGAGTAACTCTGACCAGCTGATATTATGGCTGATATTAAGATATTTTGGAATCTCCGCAACAAAACGCAACCCTCGACGCCCATGATCATAGGATGTGACCAAAGAGTTAAAAATATTCCGAAGAGGGCTCAAATCGCACGCTTTCACATGGGTGATTTCATAAAGAAAGCAAAAAGATTACTTTACGATGAAGTTTTAAGATAACTGGTGGAGGATTGTCAGAAAATTTACTTACAGTTTCTAAGAGCGGTGTCTGTTGTTCTGATGAGGCCCACACCTGTCAGGTTACTTCACTTTCTTCACTGCGCCACGCTGTCTCTTCCGGTTTCTCCCATTTCCGGGAATACATTCCAAAGTTGTTGGACCGGTTCAGGCTCTTTCTCTCTCTCTCTCTCACACACACACATGATAACATCATAGATGAATAAACAGTAATATTGATAGTAGGGCTGGGTAACGTCACTGATTTCTAGAATCGATTCAATTCCGATTCACAAGGTCCCGAATCGAGTCGATCCACGATTCGATTCAATTCGATTGGATTTGATTCAATTTGATTTGAATCTGGGAAATTTTGACAGTCAGAAATATTATAATTCAGATCAGTACATTTACATATTTTTGTATCTATAAAAAGGAAGCTGACACATGCAAGACTTTATCAAAGGTGTAAGCGTCACAGCAGATGCTTTTGTGTTAAAGCAGCTGAAGATAAAACACAGAAAAACATGAAGGTGATTTTCCTGGCCTCGGATTTTATAAAAACATTCTGCCGTACATCAAAAACGAAAGAAAATCATTAATCAACATATAAACGTTACCTCTGACGTTACAGTGGTTTTATTAGAGACACAGCTAAGCGTTTTGCATTTTGCATAATTTTAAAAAGTTTAAATTTGTTCAGTATTGAACGGCAGAAATTAGGTTTTCTTTTAGTATGTAAAAGGAAAATAAAAAACTGCGACCAAGAGTGCTGTAAACAACGGTAGACTTGTGCGTAACAAGCAAGCGAATAATGCAGAAAACAGATTTTTAGACGGGAAAGTGTTCTTGGAGAGAGAGCGAGAGAGAGAGAGAGAGAGAGCTGTGCATGAAGTGTGATTTTTATCCTGGTGGAAGCAAAACAGCAAAAGTCAGAGTGAATTCATGACGATGTTTATGTGAAGCGTAGTTTGGATCTTCTTTTGCTGCTGGTTTGGTCAATATTGTTTGGAGAGCGATAAAACTAACAGCTTTAGAATCAGCGCAAAAATGGCGTAAACATAAAGCGCGGACCCGCCGACAGATCAGAATCAGCAGCTGTCGGCTTTCAGCCCCGACCGTGTCCCTGCCGTCGGGTGAGAAAGGCGACATCTCACTGATTCTGAGCCGCGGGTCCGCGCTGTGTGTTTACGTCTTTGTGCAGAATCCGTGTTCTTGTTGAAATTTTGAGGTTTCACCAGAGATTCTGGCAAAATAAATTTATATTAAAAAATCGATTCAGGATTTTAATGAATTGATTTCACGTTATCCAAGCCAGAATTGATTTTAATCGATAAATTGATTATAAAAACCCACCCCTAATTGATAGCAATTTTCATCCCTCCCACCTTTGATGCTCACCAATTTGTCTACATGGCTAACAGGTCTGTAACACACTCACAAAAAGATTCTAGGTCTGATCATGGGCAAAAAGATGACAGTCAACAGTAAAATTCTTAAAGGTAATGTATTAACACAATGATGAAAAAATAAAAGATAAAACAGTCCAGTGTCCTATTTGCGTACAAAGTAAAAACATACAGTCCAAGGCCAGAGCCAGCTATGCCACAAAGCCAGTTGCACTCCACACGTTGTTCACTTCAACAGGGGTAGCAGTTGTCCTCTGAGACCCGTAAGTAGATAGCCAGTGATCACTGGCCTCTGCAACTCAGCTGTCTTTATGCTGCGGCATATTACAGGCCCTGGCCTGCACAGAGAGACAAAATAACACGGTTCACTGTATAATTCACAGCGCACAACCCACCCATCCCAAACATATCAGGTCATCCGAGGTTTCGTCACATTACATACCTCCACAGAGAGACAAAATAACACAGCAGTGTTTGTAGTGTGGGCTATAACTAGACTAGCGTATCAGTGCAGTCCATTACATCTGCCTCCAATTCGTCCAACCCCATTACAGCCATTGGCTCACCGCAAATGTGACACACACAACCAGTCCCAACCCAGTGCAACTTCACACAATAGGAGGACATGACATGAAAGAAACTGTTAGCCCGACACCGACTGAACTGTGGTGGTTTGAGGCCTTTGGGGACCGATCTGAGGTTCAAGAACAACAGCTCCTCTTCGATCTTCTTAGCTCCACACTGGCACTCATAGTCCAACTATGAGTCCAACTATGAGCAACTGCAGAAGGGAGCAGGAGGAACAGGTGCAATAGAGTTGAACTCTTTCACAGATGAATTACATATTTGTGGAAGCCTGCTCACAGAATGGAGTCTCACTGAGCCTCGGTGTACCAGGTCCAGGGAGAGGTGGAGGTAGTCCTCCCGCCCAAAGAACTGCACACCACATCTGCTGAATCACATCATTTCAAAGATTACAGACTCACATTGAAGAAATATCAGCAGCATCATGAAAACAATTAAAGTTTACTTTGTTCCTACCTGTTGCAGCTCTTTGTGCTCAATATCTTGAAGCCATTGTGAGCTCTAACTGGACAGATGTAAGGCTTATCCAAGGCAGCTGCTTCTGCCTGCAGCTTAGAGAACTCACGCTGGAGCACGTCCAGAGCACAGACGAGGAACTCGTGGGCATCCTCCACACAGACACACACAGAACCAAACACAGGTTCAGGTGCAAATGTACAAACTATAGCAGAGATGAGTGTGCTGCGTAGTGCAAAAAGACAGCTGCTTACTTTCTGATCATCATCATCAAACTCTGGATGAGACGCAGCAACCGTGTCTTTAAAGACAGTCAGGGCGGAGCTTTTGTGCCAGCTGTCGTTTCTGAAGCGGCTCAATTTGATGTCCACAAACTGACTGCAAACAGCAGAAGTGAAGAAGACACAAAGTTAGTTTTATAATAAAGGACAAAGTCCATCATTAAATATGTCACCGTTTACAGCTCACTGTTATGGAATAATAAGACAAACATTTAAATTAAATAACAATTTAAAATAAAATTACACCGGAAATGTAGTTTATATTTTATATTATTTTAACATTTTAGTTCACACACATTTAAAGTGCAAACTAGGTTTCACTTGTCGCTTTGTATTTTTGAAAATCTGAAAATAATGCAGGGACACGTCCTACAGTCACAGTTTTATACATTTATTTACACAGGAAAGAATCAGTCTGCAGTTTACTTTGTGTTTAGCTTTGTGAATAAGAAATATGTTTATTAAATATGTGTAATTTATATGTTTTAGAAGTTTACAATACCATTCACTAGAAAAAAAACTTTATGGTTGTACAAATGTAGAACTAAATAGTCGGGTCTTTGGTGTTCTTTGGATCTTTGGAAGATGTCATCCGAGTCAACTACAAATAAAAGTGGTTTAATCTCTGAGTGCATCATTGACCAGGGTTTGGAAAGTGAGCTTCTTAAACAAAACAAAACAAAAAAGTCACATTGCAAAATTCCTTCTTAAATCTTTAATTTTACTTTATGTTCTGTTTTTTGTTTTTTTTTCTTTTATAAGAGTGATGGCATCGATGGGTTTGTCCAGAATATATACAACTCATGACTCAATGTGGACTAAACATTGTCTTACACCAAAGTCCAGCCAGGCAGCCAAACACGGTCTAGGTCAGGCCCTTCACTCCTACCTTAAAATGTATAATTCATGGCTCACCACCATAAACAGAATTATTTGAGTGTAATTTCTCTTTTCACCTCATGGTGGCAACACCATCTGATCTATGTTGCAACCAATGAGTGTATAAACGTTTTATACTAATAGTAAGTCATGTTTAAAATGAACCTGACATAATGATATTCAGCAGCTTCACTGAACTTTCAGGTATTCCAAATGTGGGGTGTCACTGTTATTTTAAATATTTATAAATCTATTAAACAGCCATAGCCAAATGTTCAGTTTTAATTTCTCCTCCAGGCCAATCTCAAGTTAGACAGATCCTGTTTTGCCGCATTTTATGATGATATTTCACACTTAAT